GGAAGTAATTCATTACTGTAATTCAATTCCTTTTTAAGTAATGAGTACTTGTAATGCATTACTTCCCAAATAATGTAATGAGTAATTGCAGCGAATTACTTTTTTTGAGTAATTCAGTCACTTTTACAATTACTGTTTGCAATTACTTTTAACCCAAATACTCAAAAATATTGTTTTGTTTTTCTCTACTAATCGTTTACCTGACCTACTGGAATTATTATAACTGGTTCGTCCCCATAAAGAGAAGATTAACCCAGTAGGGAGTAACAAAGTCTAAAACGAGTTTAGCACCGAATTTGTTAAGAAACCAGGTAACCATAATATACATAAGTTCTTCATAATGGTGAGCTAAAGCATATTCCAGCATAGGGAAATGCTTATAAACTTCTGCCCAAGTTTTTGCCAAAAGTATAGTCTGATTGTAATAAACTTCACGCCGTTGAAATGAGCGTAAAAACCCTACCCAGACTGCTTTTCCGTTTTTAAATTTTATTGTAAAAAAAAAACTACAACGCGTTAAAATTGTGATGAGTATGAGTATGAGACTATCTGGTTACATTAGCAGAAATTGTATTAAAAAATCCATTGCGCATATCTTAATAAATAATTGAGTAAACAGGGGCAGAATATTTAAAATTTGTGGTCACACAAACTTTAGCCATTTTTCTGGTCCACTCAAATCTCTAACAGGTAACCGATTGAGCCCGTCCTTTTAAACCCCTCATAATCCGACAAAATTTTTATGAAAGTGTCCACCCTCTAATAAGGTATAAAGCAACTGTAATGAATTACTTTTTAAAAGTAATTGATCCAATCACTGGCTGTTAACATTACATATACATTGTATTGTATAATGGTTAAATCCTTATTTATAACTGTCCCATCACCCACAATAGTAATCTATTATTAAGTAAATTAAATTTTGCACATAGAAAACCGAATTAGAACTAGAGAAATTACATATATCTACACTTAAAATTTATGAAACAACGACAGACGGCAAACGGCATTTACATATAGAGACAGAAACTGAGATTTATATTTTCGTCCTCATGAAATGTCGAGAAAACATGAAACTAGCCATTCGTCGACTGAATCCTATCACGCCCGGGAAGTAAAATCCACCATCAAACCAGAGGTATGAACAGCATGTCAGATTATAAAATTCAGGAAAAATTGCTTTTACAATGACGTCATTGATTTATTGTAGGCCATGAATGCTTTTGTTATTGTAAAAGTTTTATATAATCAACATAATCTTCTTAACATAAACGAGATAACAGAATATCTGAATGAATTATGAGTCCAATTAAATTCATATCCCTTACTCCAAAAAGTTTCGATTTAATTGCCTTAGATAAAAAAAAACCTACTGTCTTGGACGTTTTTCTTTATTATATAATAATATTATGAGGGGTGCAAATATGTTACAACCGAATTGATATATAAATGTTACATTGCCGCTCTTTTTTCCCGTAACAGAATGTTGAATTTTCGACAGTCAATATTAGCACCAACCAGTGTAATTTACAATTAAATTGTCTACGTTAATATCATCATAATAGTTATTTGCGCTTCAATAGCCGAAAGACAAAGCCTACCTCGTGGACGAAGTTTGAGACGCGACAAAAAAGTTTACCTAATCGTAGTATATTTTATCCATAATTATGTATAACAAAATTAAAATTAATTAATTAAAATTAGAAATTATCAAATAGCCTACAAAGCGTTGGTTGTTTTCTGTGGAGTTTAAATTCATCAATAACAAAAAATATAAAGCAATAGAAAGATTTTCGAAAAATGAATTCAACTGTGGATTTTGTGGATTCAATTCCTCAAGATACTGCAACAGCAGCCCAAGAAGCCGTGAAAGATTTGTTTCCATTTAAATTCAAAAACCGGTATAAATCGGAGTATGAAACACTTGAAGCTTGGCTTGGATGTAAGTCAATAAATGCGATAAATCAAACGGTATTATTGGGCTATTTTAACGAAAAGGTAAGTGTGCTAGCGTTTTATAGTGGAATAATAAATTTCTTTTTTCGGTCCAAATTATAGAGCACCTCGATCTAGTCTAGACGTTTTATGATAATGAAAACACTGCTGATCAAGGAACATATTGATAACAGCTGCCGCGCTGCCGCTATAAAGTGATATCGTTTTTGAAAATGAAAAGTGTTGACCACGAAGGTAAAGATGCAGTGGTTTTGTAATGTTTCAAGTTGTAGTTTTAATATTTATAATAAATAAATGTATTAAATATGTCTATTTAATACATTTATTCTGTTCGGCTCATCTTCATTTGATTTGATAATAAAATTAAGATGAGCCGAATAGTCTTCATTTAACAATAAATCAACAGACCTCTGAGCTTTTATCTCACTTGACAGTGCGCTGGGTTAAAGCTGAATTTCTCGCAATGGTAAACAAGTCGTTTTAAACATAAATAATATGACGCACACGTCAACATAGGCAAATCTGGCAAATTAATTGCATTTAGCTGTTGTTTTTCCTAAAGAAGTTGTAAATCTCACAAATTAATTAAAGAACACTAAACAATTTAGAAATGTTGTTTTAATACATCATCTTATTTACATTAAACAATGTTGTAACTTGTAGGAAATAATGTTGGATTTTCTTTCTGGTTACGTTATTTACAACATTATTTTTTCACCACCGACTTTAAAATAAAATATATTAAGCATCTTAGTGGTAATATATATTTTCAGAAACCACAGTTCAAATTAAAATTGTCTTATTTCATGCAGCATGTTTTTCTTTGAGAAAATAGATGATTCAAAGTAAATCCTTTGAATGAATTTGGGAGGTAAAAATTTTCCTCACGGACTCGTGCTATATTATGTTGCTGGAGTGGAATGAATATCTAGGTTTCGTGTTAAATTTTTCACTAGCAGCCATAAAGCATGCAAATGTCGACTTATTTAGAGGTAACAAAGTTCAACTTTTGCGACCAAGGTTCAAAAAGGAGATTGAGGTTATGTACGACATACTTGATGTGATTATTTCTTAAAAAATGAATAAATTTGTGCTACTAACATTACTTGAGTATACGCATGGTGGTTGGTAGACGGTGGAAGATAAAATGATTAATTCAGCGACAAGTGTAAACGGTTTTTTTTTGTGTTGAAGATTTAGATCAAGTTTGATTAGAAATCAAAACAAAATCATGTTGCGTCAAAAAATTGAACGTTTATTTTTTCAATTTATTGTCTTATGGTTTCTACTAGTGAAAAAAATAGTATATTAACAACAGTTGTAAAGCCACTTCTAGACCTTGCGCTTTAGAGCTCTCGACGCTGCGCATCTCGGGTTCTAATTAAATATTTGCGCTCGGTCTAGAATACTTGGCTTTGCAACCTTGGCTAATAATACATCACTTTAGGGTTGTAAACCTTTTCTTCTACACAATTCCGTAATAAAATACAAGGACGGTTCATCTGTTCTTGTCCCTAACATAGTTGGCGCGGAATGGCAAATGACAAATGCATATGTTTGTATTTGTCATAAACTTATATTAATATTTGTAAAATTGCGATTATCTGTGACTTTTGATTTTGAAATTATTAATTTTTATCTGTTGTAAGGTCCACATTTTTGTCAATTTGAGCGGAACCAGTTTATTATTTTTTGAGAATATACCAGTTTACCAAAACGAGTGGAACTTTTAAATAAATATTGTGAAAAGTAATAAAACTGAACTTTTGTTTTTCTTTTATTAATTTTTCAGTAAATATGGCACAATGAAGATTGATTGATTATTATACACGGAATTATATGCTCAAACTAATAAAATTTTCTATTCTGTAGATTATTGTGTTATTAATAGAGATGTACCTACCGACTGTAGATCTGGCCGACTAACCGACTAGTCGGCCGACTGTTCGGCTTTGCTAAAACCGGTTTATAAATGCGACAGACAGTGTGTTTTTTTTTTCTATTTCTCTGAGTACCTTAAAAATTTGTTTTATTTTAATAAAAGGAATAACTAAAGTTCCTTTGTTTTCCAAAAAATGTGTTAAATTTGTTTGGATAATTTTAACATTTAATTCTTTTTAGTAACTCAGTACAAAAATAAATAATAACACAATTTAGGGCCAGTTTATACAATATTTAACTAAGATTAAGTTGATCGCGCATTTAACAAGGCCATTAGCGACGTCTGATTGGCGTAGATTCGGTCACATGGTACTTTAACGCGGGGTTAAAAATTAAATCGCAATTAAATATTTAATTGAGGTTCTGTGAACCGGGTTTAATTGTTTTATATACTATTTTAATTTTAATAAAAAAAGCCGACCAGTCGCCGACTTCAGCCGACGATGAAAAACGGCCGAATAGTCGGCTTATCCGACCGGTCGGCCACTAGTCGGTACATCCCTAGTTATTAATGACGCTAAAAAAATACGATTATTAGAAAGTGTGCTAATTTTTCCTTGGTTCCGTTATCTACTGTACTTTTTAGAATATATTTCCTGCAATTGTATAACTTTGGATCTCTACACTATATAAAGGTATTACGACCTTCTTTTAATATGTGTACCAGCTTTTTTTGTGCTAACTTTAAGGCTTCTGTCCACCTAGCGTTAGCTTGGTGGTTTATTTTTCACCCGATGGCCCTGGTTTGTAGCTACATATATAGAACTAGAGAGTTCTTTAATTTTAAACTCTGTGAATTTCATTTAGTTCGGTGAAATTATGAAACCGCCAGCTCACCATGCCTGATCTTTAAATTATGATTACTTAATTTTTTTCTAATAAATGTTTATCTCAAGCACAGCAGCATAAGTATCGGTGATTCTGTCATTAGATATATAATAATAGAAAAATGTTTGAGTTGTAATACACCTCGTGTGACATTAATTTCTTATTACGCATATTTTTGTCATTAAACATACCTATATTTAGATATTTTGTACACATGCGTATCTTTGATAATTGATAACACTGATCGGATAATGGCATATATCGAATCGTTATCTCACCTATACATTTACCTAATAAGTTCAAGATGGCGCATCACTTTTAACCCAGTTTTTGACTCAAATAGTCGAAATTTTCCACATCACTTGGGCTAAAATTTTTTAGATTTATTACAGTACCTTATTATCATTTCACCACCGCGTATTGTACAGCCTGGTCCTTATAGGTCACGCCCTAGGTGAGTCATACTTTCTTATCTATGTCAATCACAATATATATTTTCGCAAAATTATACTTTGTAGTTTCAAAAATACTGTAGCAAGCATCCCTTTTGAAATCTAAAGTAATACTACTGATATTTTTATAATACCACAACCCTTAACAGTTAACTTAACTGTTAACATATCACCATAGATAGGAGGTCGAGATAAATGTTTCACAAGCAATTTGTTCTATTTGTTGTTAGTCAGAGATGTAATTTTGTGTGAGAACATATACTCTAAGAATAATTTAACACTGCAGTGCTAAAACGGGATCCAACCGGTTGAATAAATTTGATAAACCTTTTTTTTTATTTTTACATTTTCTTTTTTTGTTTATAATTTTAAAAATGCGAAAAAAATGGTTAGGTTAATTTTTTTTTGTTTTATTTTTTTGCAAAAGTTGGATAAATTTGGACGATAAATTTATCCATTATTCACTGTGATGCAGCGTGTTATATGTTTTATTGACTTTTCTTATCTATAACTGAAAAAAGTTTAATAACAGGCCCACTATTTTATCAGACTGACAAAATCTTTAATATTGTACCAATATACACACATTTGCTCTCTAATAATAATTCGGTCTGCTAAAGTATGTGTTTGTAAGAAATCTAAGCTTAAGAAATGTGCGAAAATTAGTGAATCAAAAAATCTTTGATAAAAATCAGATATATCTGAGATATCTATCTGTTTCAAGAATAAATTAGATTAAATTTGTTTACAACGTTATGTATTTTACAATGTTTTACTTGTAAGAGATATAACACGGTAGTATACGTACCGACTTGAGGTTAAGGACAATATCACCAAGATAGCATTATCTTAATAATATTTAGTAAGGAATTCCCCTGTTGTTATATCGATTATTACTTACCCAAAATAACCAAAATGTGCTAAAATCGATCACTTCAACGAGAGCGCTGCCATCTTGTCGTGTCAATGAATGTCATCAAAATGGCGCGGACTGTTTGACTTAGTAAATTGGTTCATACCTTACTTGAATCAGTTTCATGTTAGACATTGAAGCGGGTAGACGTATTTAGTGATAAGTTTTATCTTTTATGTATGTGTTTGGTAAGCGATCACCGATTAGAATTATTTGATAATAGTCGCTTAGAGAATTTATTCTTTGGGCTCTAGTAATTTTTTTTTATTTCGGCAAATTATGTTAGTAATTGTACTGCGTATTTCCAGATCCGTGTCTTTCAAAATTTTGCAAAAATTGACACTTGGGCTGCTGCAAGCAATAAAGTAAATTTGATCGTTATTATATTTGTCTACCTAATTACGTCGAATTTATACACCTTGCATACAGAATTAATCTTCATAAACCTTGACAATAACAAAACTTAGCTGAATTTTAAATTGCGCAGAGATTTTTTTGATATAGTATAGTCGATGGTGTTTATGGGAATGAGGGCATAGTTAGTATTAATTGTACGTTGTTTAAGCTAACGAAATCTCTGATTTGGCGTTAATCTAGCTGATACAACAACAACAAATTAGAACGTTTTGAGTCTAAGTAGCTATAATAATTTCAATATCACTTTCATTTTGTTCTCAGTTTGATTTCCGGTCATTTTTGACCAATGGAATAGGTTTAGATAGGCATACTTTAACCAGAACTCTTGCGCGGAGTCTGTCTCAGGCAAGAGTTCTGGTTCTCTGACTTCCACTAATTTTGAGTAATATAGACGGTAGTGAAATTTTTATTACGGTTGATCTCGACAATCCCTCTCCCAGCCATCTCGACTGCGGCAAATTTACAAACGTCTTTAGTTAAGCCCTCATAAAAATTAGTAGAAGCCAATAGGCGCCTGAGGCAGACTCCGCACAAGAGTTCTGGTCAAAGATTATGTAGTTAGTCGTTCTATTAATTACTCACATTGAAATTAAACCTTAGAACACACTTGTCAAACTGTTGCTATTATGGTTTTAAAGAATAAATGAAGAAAATTAGTTACTGTAGCTATACTTCACTACTGTTACTTGTTAATGTGTCATATACCTACTGAATACATAAATTGACAAAAAATAAAACGACCACTGTACATAATAAATTTTAATAATTTTTAAATTTGTACAATTTAAGTATTGATGAGTTTTACTGTATTTTATGGGAAAAATACAACGGGTAAAATATAGTTAAAGGCTTATTAATTAGATTTTGTAGTTTTTTGCTATATAACTAGTTGCTAGTTTTTTCCTTACACGATATCCATTGCATTGTATTTTTTATTGCAATATCTATTGTTTTAAGTTAATAATAATTTCCTTTATTTAAGGAAAGAGAAAATTTATATTATTAAAATTATAATGTGGTTATTAATTGATAATTGTCCCTGCAACAGGTTTTATTTGAATTTTTTGTGTCGTTTGAGATTAAAAAATTGTGACAAACTGCATGTCTTCTTAAAAAAACACTCCATAGTTATAAGAACGCTTCTCTGTGTTACTTGATCAGTAGTTCATTCTAAAATACTCGTTTAGGTACACTTATTTTGCTAGTCTGCCCTTTAATAAATCCAAAAAAATTTAAACTCCAATTTAAATTATTTTCTTTAAAATGTTATAATTTTTGTTTTTTCTACCGAGAATATTAAAAGGTAAAACAGTAAAAAAAAATTCATACAAGAAGGAGGAAATACAACAACATTTGGAATAAAAAGAAAAAGCGACAGCGTAAATTGTCACATAATCAGTATTTTTCTGCTAAAATATTTTTGAGGGTACTTGTAACAGCGTAAGTAAATAAGACACATATATGTTTTAGCAATATCTCTTATCTTATCACATGAGCCGATCACTGATGAAACTTCTACCAGTTCGTTTTTGTGTTGTTTAAAATTCTTATAATTTGCGGTATATTGTTAGTTGATTAAAATATTATATTTCTGAGTCAGAGTTATGTAACTGTTATTAAAGAAACTTTGACAACAAATTTCATCATTTTGAGAGTTTTTCTATGCGTCTGCAAATCTAATCGGTTATTATTTGTACAAGAAAGCAAGGAATAAGTGATCGAACCTTCCAATAATAAAAAAATGCTGTCGATTGGACCTAGGTAGATACAGTTTTAATAATCTACCCTTAGGGCTTCTAATTAGATTCCTCAGATTGAGGGAGGAAGCCTTCTGAAAGAGCAATGTAGGTATGTAATACACCATGTTAGGTTCCATTATATTTTTCTGTAAAATCCTATTTCGAATAACACAGTTCGTCATAGTAATTTAGCATCCTTCTTTCAGTACATACAGGGTAACATTTTCATATTTTTTTACAACTGTGATTTCGAAAGTAGTAAAAGATACACAAAACGGGAAACAAAAAAGCCATATTTTCTGCTGATGAATAATAAGTTTTAAATAAAAGTGGAATACGTTGCAGAAACTTTTTATTGTTATAAATCTTATCATAAACATTTTCAATTTTGTATAATCACATAATAAAATGAAGAAAATGAATTCGAAAAACTCTAGACTTATTTATTACTCCTATTATCTATTGAATAATAGATATCTTGAATTGCAACCATCAGTTTTATTTTGTCTTGTAGTTACTGGAGTAGATATTTATTTGAGTACTAATAACATTAATACAGTCTTTAGTATGTGGATGTAGATAAATACATCGGAGCTTTTGTTGTAAGTATATCAAATGGCAAACTTTTAGCATAATGAATGATACTCCATTATTTTCAAAGTCCTTGAAAATTCCCATGAATGTCATTATATGGTATTAGGTAATACCACATACTGAACGATTAGAAGATAGGCATATTTTTTTTGTTGAGAATGAAGTTTTAATAAAAGTAAGATAAAAAGTAAATTAGAGTTGGCGATGAGATGAACTGTAAAAACCGACACTTCACATTATTCAGCCGATAGTTGTATCACCTGTCAGTGCCAAAAATAAAACACGTGCGGCTAAGATACATGTATTCATGTTATGACAACACTTAGTAACAAAAACTGATTAAGTAAGGGTAAATGGTAACAGTAATCGTAATTTATTTACAATAATTTTTGGAAACTGCCAGCAGTCGGAAATAACACATAAATACTTCTGAATCACTAGGATTCCAATAATGTCACTAAACAGTTTTTTTTTTACTTTCCGAGTGTAAGTTAAGGAAGTATAGTAATCGGGTTATATTTTCCCGACGTGTCATGGCGCCTAGAATAAGAAAAAAGTGATCTCCCGTTTCCGTCTGTCTGTCTGTCATCTGTATCCAGTTTTGTTAGACACGTAATCTCCGAAACTATCGGACCAATTCTGTATGTAGGTATATTAATAAGAATATCATGTAGATTGTGAAACGCTAACTAAAATTTGGTTAATCATTCTAATCGCCGATGGGCTGACGTCATCTCCAAAATTTATGATAGTAAGTTTTTTAAATTTTAGAAAATAAGATACTCCAGCACTTGTGGTGTGTGAATCCGTTTCGAATTTTCACCTTAGACATCGAAACTTTTGGGAAAAATTCAAAACTGTGCAATATTTTGCAATTTAACTTTGAAACTGTAAAATCGAATGGTCTGAAGCCTTGTAAATATTTTAAGGTTATCGTAATCTTGGTAAAAGTTAAGCAACATATTTACCTATTCGTTTATCTCCTCCCAAAAAATTGATGACGTTATCTCAAAATTTTGTTGAATAAATCCTCTCTGAAATATGCTTACACTTGTGGTTTATCAAGGCACTCATAGTTTTTAGAATTACTTATGCAGGGTGACTCAAAAAATTTAAAAAGTCCAATTATTGTATTGATAAATCAGGTACTGCAAAACCGAATGCTTTGAAATTTTGTAGACCTTTTAAACTTATCGTAATTTTCATAAATATATCCTACCCAAAATGTGCAAAATATGATGAGCTGATAGCGATTTATCACTGCATTAAAAGTTCTTAAATTGCTTATACGACTCACTTCATTTTCCCGAAAATGGAACATAATACAATGTTTGTGTTATTGTAGCATTATACTGCACCTACCCAAAGTGATAGCTATACGTGTCTTTGCACAATTTTTTTTTTAAGGGAAAACTCATTTGAAACGTATGCCCACCAAGCTTCTTTACATTTGATTTAACGTTACGTATACATCTTTATTTTAACTTATAAGGGTTCTCATAAAAAATTCGTATTAAAATTTAATAATTTTTGGAAAAAGCTGGATAGACATTAATTATTTTCTCAAGAGCACTTGTGGAGGAATTGCGAATGTGATCATTGTATCGTTTGTTTTTAGTAAGAGGAACTACGAGATAATGATTTGACGTTATTTAGGTACGTGAATTTTTCTTCTGTCCCGGTGCTTGATTCATTTGTGTTAAAATAATTTCTTAATTTTTCATGTTCTAAATAAATTTAAATACATGTCGGCCCACAAAATCTTGTGAGACATGTTTTTAGAAAGTTATGCGAATACTCGTGCTGCTCCGCTCGACTTTTTCCGGTCCTGGGTACCAAATAACAATTTTTTGTTGTTCACGCTGTAACTTTGTGACTATAGAACTCATCCAGTAGTACAAACTATCACAGAAACTATCTAGTAAGTAGTCAAAAAGTTTTTAACTTTGTCAGATATAGAACCAAATTAATTCTACTATTACGTGGGAAATTTTAATTAAATTTGGCTTGTATAGTGACTTTATGCTATATTTAAATGAAGCAATATTGAATATTAGAGGTAGGTTTTTTTGAGTGGATCATTCTTGTTGTTTTGTAACTTTTGTTGAATGAGTTGTTAAAATAAATGTTAGTTTCTTTGATCCGTTCATTTTATGTAATTGTGTAGTAAGTACTGCTATATAATCGGCGAATTTTTAAGTAATATGAATACCTGCTATATAATTATTTAATAATTATTTTTGTGGTTGATGATAAAACTCTTTGTGCAAATATAAATGATGCATGTATTAGATTAAAGTGTAAACATTATGAAACAGATATACTGTTATGATAAGGCAAAAATACTCTAATTAATTTCCTTCAAGAAGTACGAAAATTTGTGATACTGTGGTAATGGAAAAACCTATTCTCGTCACAGAATGTACGAATTATTAGAAGCACAAATTTAAAAATTAAGTGTTATAATAATCCCTAGAGAGTGACATATTTCGTTAAGGTAAATCCGTCGACACTCGCGTGGCGGAAAACGGATATCGTTGTTCAAATACATCTATACGTGTATGTACATCATCTTCCGACGATTCGTTCGCACCTTCCACTGTAAAGTACTTGTTGAACAAAAAAGTCCTCACTTTGCATCCACTTCATAAAAATTCTCCATTACACGTTTGGACGACAAGTTTAAATATGCGTCCGCTTTCTACACGCCCAAACCTTTATCTCTCTCGTTATGTTTACACAAACGTACATTTTCTAGCTAAAATAAACCGACGAATATGCCGTGTGACAAAATACAGCGATACACTTAAACCATATTTTATTTAAAACAATTGTTTCCTACTCCAGGTCATTGGTGTCTCTTTTTTTAAATTCAGACACAACTCAACATGGAGCAGAATGAGTCGCCCGCTTCCTCAGACATGAAACCAAAACTTGAAGAAACCACTGAAACCGAACAGCCAACACCAAGTGTGATAATACGGCGGCAAGTGATAACGACCAGAGGGACTATAGAAGAAAACGTGGAAGAGGCGCGTATCGAACAAATCGCGGGAGAAGAAATCGTGAAAACGTCGGAATCACCAGTGCCGGAAACTCCACAAGAACAAGAGCACAGTAGTTCGCAAATTGTACAGTACGAGGAGCAGCCAGCGTCCGAACAAAATTATGAAGAGTCTACACAGGTATACGTTACTGAAGGGGTTATCACCACGGAAAGTTATTCTTCTCAAAGTGAATATCACCAACAACCCCATACTGTTGCTTACACCGCTCTTGATCCTAGCGGCACGATCACTATAGAATCGACAGCTGAGTATGCTGATTTGGAAAGTGTTAACAATTCACACTATACTGGTACACAGTATGGAAATGATGCCTCTCAGTATTTGCAACATCAGCAATATCAAAACCATTATCCAAATTATGCAGTGGATAGAACTGGTGCCGATAGTCCACAGTCTGCTCTCTTTAGAGACACTGATCCTAATCTTGCCTCGTCGAGATATCAGGTAAGTTTGTTACATTTATTTTTTCTGAGAAATCGATATTTGTTTTCGACAATATTGTGCTTTGGTGGAATTAGATCTAATACCTACTTAATCGAAACTAACTTGTGGGTAATAATACCTGTGCAGAATATGAATTGCTATAAATAGAAGCGATAGGAGTTTTTTGTGTGGTGCGAAAATGTACTTGAAATGTTAAAATTAGCGTTCTACTAAAAGTTATAACTTGTTACGTTATATATTTAAATGTAATTTCTAGTGTAGATGACACACAATTCTAGATAAAATATTAAGGAAATTCAATAAAAAAATTGAAAAATAACTTGGACGCTCGGGGAGGGCCAAGTTATTTTTTATTAGATCTATATTTTACGAACAAACTTGAATGTTTTAGTCCATACTATTTTATTTTTTTAAAGCACCATTTTTGTTGTGTATATTAAAAAATGGTAAAAAGTTGTGTGCTGCATAATCCATGTCTGAGAAATAAAATATCTCTAAAATAATAATAATCAACAAACAGTTTTTAAATTGTGAAAATATAGTTATTAGTATTAGTCATGGGGGCTAACGTTATGACGTTGTCGATTTATATTTTTAAATGTCAATTATTTAAATTTATTACAGAATCTGGTGATCTGATTTCCCTAGTTTGTCAACAATTTGTATATTATTGCCGTTAATTGAAAATTGCATGTGATATGTATTGAAAAAAAAAAGGTAGCCATCTGAAGATGACGTATACTGAAACACCAAAACCGGTTGTGGAAAAAATGAAGTTTACGAAGACATTATTTATAAAAGGCGTCAGTTTTTGGAACTTACTTAATATTTTATTTTCTCCACAAAATTTTCCCGTCGCGAGGTTTGAAATTTCCTTTTAAAGCATGATTCGTGTAAAATATTCACGATTTTTCTACAACTTTTTGCACATATTACACGTTCTGTTAGTGCCATTTTACATACATACTTAGCCTTAAATGTTGTTCATGTGTTACTAATTTTGAGTGATGCAGAATATATGTGATACCAGTTTATTTTTATTGGTGTTAACAGTTGGAATATGACTGCCTTGCTGTTAATTTTTATTGGGTAGGTATAAATACGTAAATAGTTTCATCATGAACTAAAATATTTACTTAAAATCAATAAAAATAGTGACAATGCTAAATTGTTTTTAATTTAGTTATATCTAAAATACACTGATTGTAACACAATATAATTACACACGCTCGCGATACAACAGTTATTTGTGTATCAATGTCACAAAGAAGAACTTTTTCGGCCGTTCTGAAGTTTGAGACCCAAAAAGTTCTCTTTGGCTGAGGTACACACATTTTTTTTAGGTGACTATTATAAATCTAGCCATTTTGCGTTCTCAGTCACGTCCATGAAGTGTCACTTTTATGTATTGAAATGTCAAAATTACTTTTTTTCACTAGTAGCCAGGAAGCATGCAAATATCGATTCATTTAGAGGTAGCAAATTCAACTTTTGCGACCACGGGTTAAAAAAGAAGATTGAGGTTATGTACGCAATACTTGATGTGATTATTTCTTAAAAAATGAATAACTGTGTGCTACTAACATTACTTGAGTATACGCATGGTAGTTGGTAGACGGTAGAAGATAAAATGATTAATTCAACGACAAGTGTAAACGGTTTTCTTTGTGTTGAAGATTTAGATTAAGTTTGATTAGAAATCAAAACAAAATCATGTTGCGTCAAAAAATTGAACGTTTATTTTTGCAATTTATTGTCTTATGGTTTCTACTGGTGAAAAAAATAGTATATTAACCACGGTTGTAGAGCCACTTCTAGACCTCGCGCTTCAGAGCCCTCGACTCTACGCGTCTCGGGTTCTAATTTGCGCTCGCTCTAGAATGCTTGGCTTTGCAACCTTGGCTAATAATATACTATTTTGGAGTCACTTGTCACTTTTTTGGAGTGACTTCTCACTTTTTTATACTCAGATGTTGAAAATTTACTTTTGCGTCCTTGAAAACCTGAATGACTAGGGTAAACATGTTAGCGGATTCATAAACCACAATTACAGAATTATGTTATTTTATAAAATATAAATAGCATTTACTATACAAAATTTTAAGGTGACATTATCAAATTTTTGGTAGCAACAATTATACAAATTTTGGTTAGAGTTTTACCACATAAACGATACTTCAATAATGTATCTAAAATTTGACAACAATCGTTTCGGAATCTGTCTAATAAAAATCGACACAGACGATAGACAATAGACAGACAGAAATTATATTTTTCCTTCTCTACAGGTCACGAAACATCGAGAAAGCTAAAAAAATAATATTCTGAAGAAAACATGTTACACTTTCTGAAACTGTCAAAAATTTGGTAGATTTATAAAAAAAATACAAAAGGATACATCCAACAATAAGATTTTGTTGTATTCCTGAAACATAACCGTTCGTGGTTCTATATTTTTGATGACACTATTGTACAACAACTGTTAGTTCGCAGAACATGCTATAGATGCTGCAACGATAATATAATTTAATTTAAACATAAATGGAAAAATATTTAACTATGAACTTGTAGTTTTTAACCTGTAGTAATTTAAAGTGAATATTGATTTTCACAATCAAAAAAGACAACTAGTTTTAGAAGAGAGAATTTCGACTTATTTTTACACCTCTTTGAAAGTTCTTGTACATTATTTATTTTCTTGTATTAATTATTATTATTTTTACTTCCCGAGCGTGAGCGTAAGCTAAGGAAGTATAGTAATGGAATTCATAGGATGAATGACAACTTTAATGTTTTCTAGACATTTCATGACCTCTAGAGTACGAAAAAAGTGGTCTCCCGTTTCAGTCTGTCTGTCTGCCTGCCTGGTGTCTGTATCCATTTTTACTAGACAAGTAATCTCCGGACCTACTGGACTGATTGTTGTCATATTTTGTATGTATAGTAGGAATATAATGTAAATGGTTAAGCGCTAACTAAAATTTGGATAATCATTCCCATCACCAATGGGATGACGTCATCCCCAAAATTTATAATAAAACGTTTTTTTAAATTTCATAAAGTAAGATACTTCTGCACTTGTGGTGTGTGAATTTGTGTCGGAAAATATTTACAATAATTTACTTTATAAAGCGTACTTACGCCATATTCTTACACTAAAACTCTGGCTAAATTTCTTAATTTGCACAAACTATATTTGTCTCTAAAATATTTGATGAACAACAAACTGCAAACGTTGATAATTTATACATATAACGCTTTTTTTTTACTTTATCGGATGTCATTACTTTAATAAGAACTGTTTACATCTAGTAGACGTTATTTTGTGAAAACGTAAAGCACTGATTTATTTTTTTAAATCTTCCAGACTTATGAAGTCTCTAATCAAAATATGAACAATCAGGTGACTCTGATAAGTGCCGGCGGGACATCTTTCCAATATACAGCTCAGAACCCTACCTGGAACAACACAGGAAGCAATGAGTATCCAGCATACCAACAAAATATGACCATTCATCAAGCAGATAGTACTCAGAGTTACTCAAATATGCAACCAAATTGGTCCGGTAGCTCTCCCGTCGAGGATTCAGCTAGAGCACAATTTCGAGAGGTACATATCAAAGAATGCGTGAATTGCGGTGCCAGTGTTACTCCTCTTTGGCGCAGAGATGGTACCGGTCACTATCTCTGTAATGCTTGCGGTCTGTATAACAAAATTAATGGTGTTAATAGACCGCCAGTGAGGCCTACCAAAAAACCACAGGCGGTAAGTTTGAATTTAAGATACGAAATTTTTGTCGTAATTTTTGTGTTCATTCATACGCTATTGCGAACTCGAATTTAACAGTCCAGTGGTTGTCTTTGCTCTTTAATTTTTTACTAATATAGATGTGTTCAGTGTAAGTGTTAAATCATAAAATTTGTTTCCAATTTAAGAATTATAACATTAGCTGTAGCTTTTTGGTAGGTTGAAACATTTTTCGTATTGGTACACCTAGTTCAATTTGATAAGGTGCTAAAAATGAATCTAATTTTCCAGTTTCATCGGTGTGATAAGGGTTTATAAATTAGTTTATTAACAAGAAGTCACCTTATGAAATTAAACAAGGTTTACATGCATTTTATCATTTTGATGAGAATTTTTTTAATAATATTAAACTTTTGACAACCACATGGCTGCCATTAAGTATTATCGTTCATAATTAATAAAAATCGTAGAGACAGAAATATAATACAGTTAATTTTTAAACTACTTAACAGTCTATAATTTTGGTAAAATTGCTTACGTAGACATTTTTGCGAAAAATATTTACATCAGATTTTTCTTGAATTTTTATTTATACAGTATGTATCTGAACTTACCTGTTATAAACATTAATTTTGAAAAGTACAAGTAGATCTTTTACAGGTTCAAAAGTTTTGAAACTAAGTAATAAAAAAAATACTGATTCGATCATGTTTTGCAACAGTTTATTTTATCTCGAAATCTTTGGTATAACTTGGTGGCAGTAGGTATAAATAAAATAGGATTGATTTTTTGCAATTATATTACGTTATACATTGATGGCAAAATATTTGGCACCTTATTGTTCGAACAACGTTTTATCTGTACTGCGAACAGTAAGGTGATTACAGTTTAAATCAACACATGTGAAGATACAAAATTATCTTGATTATTTAAGATATACTATCTGGTTTCATAAATTAAAAATTTGTTGCTCAACGTCAACACGTCATTTTTTCGTATTCTGAAAGAGATATTCACTTTCAGACATTGTCATTCAGATAAGAACACTTAAACTAAATGTTTGAAAATTGGTAAATCATTGATATCAATCTCGTAATTAATAGTACCTCTAGCGTTTAGGAAAATTATATATATAGGTACCTAAATAAAGCGTACTTGATTTAGATCACGTACACACATTTTGCATTAAATTCGTAAATAATCATGATGCAATCATGAAAATATGACGCGCCAAAGGAAAAACTACACAATAAAAAGTTTGCGTAAAGAAATGTACTGCAGCAAAAATAGGTCGGTTGTGTGTACTTAATGATAAGGCTACGTTCCAAGAAATCAGACTTAAGTTGAGGTAACTTTATGTGTAGAATTTTAACGTAGGTACATACTAATATTTCAGAATTTTTTTCTTTATTACTTAAAAGTGATAGTTTGTTGTCGTGTAGCAGACTGGACCCAGAAGGAATGGCGTCAATTGCGCTAACTGCAAAACTGGTACCACGACCCTGTGGAGAAGAAATAATCAGGGGGAACCCGTGTGTAATGCTTGTGGCTTGTATTATAAGTTACATGGGGTAAGTTCTTCAGTTAGTTGGTTGTATTTTTGTAACTGTATATGATAATCCTACACTTAAAATAAAAACAAAGAAAATAGTTTTTAAACAGTCAAAAAAATTCCCTCGTTTGTTAAAATGGGAAATGATAAGTAGGTACTTTATCTATGAAGTACCTACTATTAAATTATTTTAATTTTTTAATAAGGTTAGTGTGCCAAAAAAAGTTTTAACGTTCAAGCGCTTCAAGTTTACCTTTATATTGTACTCCTCCGAATTTTAAACAAATTTCCGTTACTGACTACCACCGTGTTTACTTTTATTCGCGTCACTGTATACACGTCACGAAAAATGTAACTTTCGACAGACTTATTTAGGTTTCGCTTTTTTATTAAACCGGAATAGGAACAGGAAGCCACCCCTTTTAAAAATATGAGTACTTGTTTTAAGAGTGAGTTAACAATGAAGCATTGTAAGTGCGAGCTAATAATAATTAAGCGTTCTTAAAAAATGACGTTAATTTATTTTATAAATTTCCTGTTCAAATGTACCAAGAATTACTGTAGTTTTCACCGAATTACTAAGTAATGTTTGTGATGTCGGTGCGATAACAAAATATTATGTAAAACTTTGTTGGTAACACTGAGTGTTTGCTTAAGTCTCAAACATAATTTTTATTCGACGTAAAAATAAACATGTTTTCCCTTTGCTTTTTTAGTTATATCCACCTATATCAATTTCATATTTTTATTTACCGACAGTATCAGTGTCGAAGCCTATATGAAACTGAACACACCCTCTTTTACGATAAGATATAAAATAGTCATAAAACAACGTACTTTATTCAGGTCGCGACATAATAAAAAAGAACATTTGTCGTGGGTTTTAAAAAAGCAGAAAGTCAAATTTTAATTTTGTAGCGCCCACTATTATCAAAATTTCTAAAACAATATTTCCAATTTAATTTCAATTATCAATATTAAAAAAACTTTAACTTAACAATGCATGTTGTTAACATTATCTAATGACTCTCACGGAAAGTAAATTTAGTGTATCTTTTTAGATACAAATTATAAAATTTGTATAATCAGGAAATGTTAGATAATTTTACAAAAATTCAGACAAGCCGTCTGGTAGCTAATCTTTTAGAGATACAAATTATTTATATGATACACCATATCTCAATTGTTCCAAAATATCAGTTTATCCAGGGTTGATGCATACTATCAACCTTGATAGTTGTAGTAATAACAAAAAATCTCTGGTAAATATAAGATACAGTATCTGTTACGTTAACCAAGATAATTTTCATTCATGCTGCAACTTTTTGATAACGCTAAAACTTGCAGGTAAATCGTCCATTGAGTATGAAAAAGGAAGGCATTCAAACAAGAAAGCGAAGACCAAAAAATTCCAGTACTCATAGCCAATCTAGTCCAAGTACTAGTCAGGGAATAGCCCAACACAGATTGGGTGAGTTTTTTTTTTCACAGTTACATACGCAATTTGATCAATTTCGCAATTTGAAGTTAGAATGATTCAACGAATTGTGTGTCTTTTTATAGAAAACCTTGTTGAGCGCCCATTTTATCATTTAGGTGATAACAATCTAAGTGCTATGTAAATAATTGTAACTGACAAGAGAGTGATAAGGATTAAGTTAATTTAATCTATTTACTTGCATTCACACACAGATAAGTCCTGTATAAAAAGTAATGATGACTTATTTGAGGTACATATGTACGTATTACGTTTCGTTTGGATTTTGTAAAATAAATGGAAAATTTTGCTAAGAAAAATGATGTCTTCTAGTGAGAAGTTTTACAGGATATATTGATAAATCAATAGATATATTGTTAGGTTTTCCTGTATCTACTTGTTTGTACTTAATTAATTATTTCCTATGGAGAGTATTGATACTATATTTTAATTTTATAGTTCTTCAGCACGGCTATTTTCCACCAAATATGCAAGCGGACATGGCATCAGATCAATATCAGCTTCCTTCTACTGTGGGTATATTTCAGCCCAATCAGTACCACCAACGACTTCCTGGTGCTGAGCAGTTAGCACGACAAATTCCAGCAAAGTACGTACTAATACAATTAACAGTTTGACCGGTGCTTAAAAATAAATTCAAATCTGTGTTCGTCACATGTGAACAACTGTAATTAATTAAGAATTAATCAATATATTGAATATTTTCATATCCATTGAAGTACAACAGTAGTTTTTCGTAGAATTGAAACAAACATTTTTTATACTTAGGTACCTGCTTGAGATTTTTATTCAGAAATATGATTTTATCTAACTAAATAAGCTGTAATACTGTAAAATAACTATGAAAACACTTTTAATAAATACATCTTAAATCTTAAAAAAAATTGCTAAATTTTCTGGAAAATTAACATTTTATCTTACTTATCAATCTAGTAGAAGTCCCGCGTATGCATGTAAATGGTTATATGGTATGAGGTTTATGAAAATAAAGTATACGTATACATAGCTTGTTTGTGTCACTTGCAGCGACACCGTTTTTTTTAAATAAATGACTAAATTTAATAATACTGCTGTATCTATTAAAAATGTATAGTTGGTTATAATGACGAGTTTTAACTTTTTTGATTATAAGAAGACAAAAGTTGAATAGACCACTCTTTTATTAACTTCCAATTAATTGTTTGTATTTTTAAAATTTTACTGATGCATTTTACATGAGGAATCTACACTACAGGCTGATTAATTTAAATTAAACTCAGAATAAACATTATTTACATTTTCTTAATTTTGTTGTATTTTGGGTTGCCAAGCAAACTCGTCACCATACCTGAATCACCCTGTATTTCGATCTCCTCCAGTTTTACAGGTTTATGTTCTTTCGTTGATATAGGCAGCACATAATACAGTTGAAAAAATGGCGTGTTTCATGTCAAATACCTTACATACCCAGGTGTAAAATTTATCATTTAGAGTTTAACTAATAAAGTAGCAATTATTTTTACCTTATAGATGTAATTGCATATTTACAATTGACATTAGTTAAAATTAATTCAGATTTAAGAACATATAACTCTTGTTCAGGATTGTGCCAGTATACCTACGAAAAACGTTATAATTTTGACAAAAAAATGGAATACATTTTTTACATTTGATCCATTTCGGTTTCAAGCCATTCCATATTTCATCAATAATAACTAACAAGCAGCTTTTCAAAAAATTAATCAATAATATGTCGGACAAATTAATTAAAACATAATACAGAAAGTGAAAATCTAATTAATAATGTTTTTTTGTTTTCCTAACAACCTTTATTATTATTTTCGAGCGTAAGCTAAGGAAGTATAGCAATCGAGTCCATCGGCCGAATTGCCACTTTCATATCTTCTCGACGTGTCATGACCTCTAGAGTACGAAAAAGTGGTTTCCCATTTCCGTCTGTTTTTCTGTGTGGTGTCTGTATCCATTTTTATTAGACAAATAATCTCCGAAACTACTGAGCCGATTGTTATCATATTTTGTATGTATATTAAACACTAACTCAAATTTGACTAATTATCCCTACCACCAATGGGATGACGTCATCTCCAAAATTTCCGTGTGGATTTTCACCCTTGACATCCAAAAATTTTGGAAAAAATTCAAAATTGAATAACAATATTTTGCAACATAACTTTCAAACTGGAAAAAACTATTTTAAGTTTATCGTAATCATGGTAACTCGTTAAGTAAAATTGATTTGTTTATCCCCTCCCAAAAAATTGATGACGTCATCTCAAAATTTTTCCGAATAAATACTATCCAAGATGTGCAAAATATGATGATGAGTCTATACTTGTAATTTATCATTCCATTAAAAGTTTTTAAATTTCTTATACAATCGCACGATCAAATTTTATAACTTTTCGAAAAAGCTGAATTTGTTTTATGATTTTATTGTATTTCAGGAGCGAGGCGAAATAACCTTCAACCATTATTTTTCATTGTTGTCTATCAAATCTCCTCCAAAGATCGAAAAGGTCAGTAACAGGAGGGCAAAATATGTATTAAAAATTTGAAAAAAAATACACAAAAAGTGGATATTAATGAATTTTGAATTAAAACTTTAAAAATATGAAATTATTGTTACAATGAATTTAAATTTCCGCGGTCAGTGAAATTTTACGTTGAATATATATATATATATATATATTTTCATGTATTTTATTAGTTACCTACATGAAATTTATAGTTTAAATAATAAACAACGGGATAACTTTAACATTTTTAATATATCATTCATGATTTAACATCTATATTAGATTTGATACTCGTGTACTTTTTTTAGACGGGGGTCACATCGTTGTCACGAAAGCAAATATTTTTTTTTCGTTGCTGGTAAAACTTGTCTTAAATGTTAGATGTATGTAGTTAATAAATGTTTCACATATTTTTAAGGTTCTGTAAAGTGCATTGAGTTTTAAGTTTTTTTTGTCACAAGGTAATTGGTAACTAAATATTTCCCTTTTGCCCTTTTGTACGTCGTTTTAATAAATGTCGCTTAAATTTCCTACTTTAGTATGTCATTTCGAAGAATGAAATGAAGATTATACAGTTAACATTTATTTTGTTCTTTGAAAATTCGTGTTTGACTTTTCCTATCAACAGCTTTTGTACTAGGGGCTTTCTCTTACTGTGGAAGATGTTATACCTAATAGCATGAAAATGCAAGCCAGAATGAATAATATAAATAAAGATGAAAGTGATGAAACAGTTACCCCTTCGACTTGCTGCTTTTAATTTTTTGATATCAAATGAAATAATTGGCTTATTTTTTTACATTACTGTACCATCATCACACTATGAATGCGACTTCATAAGCATTTTACAGCGACCCCTTCATAAAATTCATGACACGTTACACGTACTGTTAAGGTAGGTTGCGGCCTGTATGAAATATTTTTATTTTTACTTTTACAATATAGAAGGTCTTGTCCAGGTAAGCAGATTTACTGCCGGACTATGTACTTACTGTGCGACATGCCATTTATAATAAGTAAAATACTATCTATTAAACAAAGTCTACAGTGCAAGCCTAGATTTTGTGAAACTGTTGTTAACTTACAAAAGTCAGTAGTTTTACACATATTATAGTTTTCTAAACTGGACTTGGTTACGAAAGTTACTTTTTTGATTTGTCAAATAAAAAAAATTGTAATTGTATTTTTTCAGTGTAGCTCCACTGGAACCCATTCAAGTAGCATCTGAAGAACAAGCGACTGTTATCACGTCAACATCACAAAACGCAAGATTTCGTCGTCAAGGCGACGAAGATGATGATCCGAATGCCTGAGAATCACAAGTGCATTAAATTTGTATTCAACCACACAAAAAGTTCGAATCTTCATTGTTAACTCTGGTTAAAACTAACTCGTTAGTGTCAAATACCAATAAAAGTATAATAGCTATTTATGGTATAAATGAATAAAAGTGAATTTTATCCAACGAAAAAACAGTTTAGCACACGAGGCGAAGCTGAGTGTGATAATGTTTTTGAGTGGATAAAATTCGTTTATTCACGTGTATCATACAAAATTTTTTCCAATTTCGCAAAATTTTTCAAAAAATTTATTGTTTAGGTAATCCATATACATAAATATTAATTGTACTGTTACTAATATGATGAACATTTGAAGAAGGTAAATTGCCTAAACTGCCTGTTCTTTCGCCACGGTCAAATTCAAACGATGCCCCTGGACTTTCATTAGGATTGTTTTACAGGAGGTGGACTATCAAGCGTTGCAAATTTTAGTTGAATATCCACACGTCCATAGCAACGAAAATTTCAGTGGTAGTGCGAATTTTTAGTTTTTTTACTTTATTCGTGTTGTCAATGACAGTGTGAATAAAGTGTTGCTATAAACATTTTATTCATCCTTTCGATTAAACTATTGTTTTAATAGCGAGATTTAACATACAAAATGAGCATTTTATTAGTAGAAATTGGAAAAAATGTTTTTATTTTACAGTCGTAGGTCTTGGGGTACCTAGATTATACATCTTTTTTGCTAGAGAAAAATTCAATATTATTAACAAGTGATAGGTTAAATGAGCTGTCAATTTGAATTCATCTTATTCTTACTTTTACGTAAAAGCTGCTACTGTAAGATAAAATACTATTATACAGTTTACGTTATGTACATTAGTACATTATATGCATAATAGTTAGTTCACATGTCTTAATAAATACGAAAAGCAATATTACTGTAACAAATCCCTCTTTTTTAGAATTAATAACGCATTTTTAAAATGTTTCAAATATAATATTAATTTCTTTGTAGGTGTAGGTACAAACATGCATTTACGTACACTTTGTATATTACGTTTTTTTAAAAGATCTCAGTTTGAGATATTAGGTGCTAGTCATCATGTATTATGTTCATCATAATATTGCCATATATTATTGTAAGTTATAGTGGTAATTCTACGTTAAGGCAACATTTTGGTAATATATTTTGTGTTGTAATGGTTACATTATGTTCATTTAAGTATTTTAAATTTCTAAGTATAATTTTTTGAACCAAAGATTTGCGTTACCTTTGTAATTATTCAAGCCACCTTACTTAAAATTATGTTATACATACTGTGATACCTCGAATTTGTTTTATTTAAAATAATGACGTTTTTAATTCAAATTGTATTTAACAAATGTATTTAACACATATGACGTGATCATAAAATTATAGAATTATAAGTAGTAGTTTAGAAAAAAGTGTTTTTTTTTGTAATAAGTAGTTCCCTAAATACATCAGATTTTGAGTTGTTTTTTAAAAATTTGGCATCTTTTTGCATGAAAAGATTTTAGTCTAAAGATAAGTACTTCTTTACGTATAAATAACATTATGATAAATTTATAAAAACATGTAATGGTATTTGATAAAAACTATGAACAGTCTAGATGGCAGAGGCAATTGAACTCTAATATCAATTTCGCTTTATTTTCTTCTGCATGGTTTATAAACTGTAGCTTTTGTTTATAACCAGACTGAGACTACAAATGTAAAACCGTCAAAATTCCATTTACACCCTTATGTGACAGCGTAAAGTAAGTGTATTTAAATTACAGTAGGACTTGACATTTGCTGTTTTACTAGGTATACCTACTTCTCGGATTTCACGGAACCTGAGGAAGTAATTGCATGTTGTGAAACCTGGTCATATTTCTTTCAAAAGCCACAAATATGTTAGGCCTGAGGTTTAAGAATATTTGAACAATACAAAAAACGCTTAATTTTACCTTTTTCGTGACAAGGATTTTATAACGAGTGACTTGGAGAGTGTTCCCTCAGATTAGAAGAAACTGCGACCAGTATTCTATCTGCGTTATTACCAGCAAAATCAGAACTGAAGTATGAAAAAATTTACAACCGGTATCTGAAATGGTGTAACGAGAAAATTGTGCAAAATATAACCAGCGAGAAGGTTTTGCTGACGCACTTCGACAATCTATCGAAAAAGTAGAAATCCATTAGTGTTTAGGCTTTCTATTCAATGCTGAGGACGACGATTTCTACGAAAAAGAATGTTGATATAACCAGATGCAAGCAGTTGACTGCATTTTTAAAAAGACAGTCAGAAGGGTGCAGACTCAAGAAGTCAAAAATATTTACGAAAGGTAAGACTGGAAGGTTCCTGAAAAAAGCTGACGATAAACAGTTTTTGTTTACCAAGGTAAGAAATGCCTGTAATATTTTCAAATGATTTTAATTCATATTTTTCCAAGGTTGCATTTATAATAATTGGCGTCGCTGGAGCTTGCAGAAAAGAAGAGCTCACTAACTTGCTCCTAGAAAATATTAAGAATGAAGGGTTGGTTTTTCATATACAAACCCGAACACCAAAACCAAAATTTCAAGAGAATTTTTTGTAATGGTTGGTGGCATCCAGGGACTTGAAATGGTGGAAATAATTAGGAAATTTGGCATTATATCTTCAGCATACCAACCATGAAAGATTTTTTGTTGGATGGAGGAAAGGTTTTTGTACAACAGAACTTTTAGGCATTAATACGTTTGCGACTATGTCAAAAAACATTGCTACATTTTTTAATTTATTAGATCCTAAAAAGTACATTAGGCATTGCTTGAGATGCTCTTCCATTTCAAGGCTTGCAGACTCTTAACCATAAAACGCAATGGAGGCTGGAAATCGAATACAGTGACAGTGACGGGTATATACATTGATACATCAAAAGGAAATAAAAAAAAGTTGCGACTAAAATTTTAGGAGAAATTAAGGCAAGTACTTAGTTCTTGTACGAACAATACATTACTACAAAACACTGCGCAGTTAACCACATCAGCTGGTATCAATATGTCCAATTGTGATGACATCGTTATTAATGTTTTATAGTAATCCTAAAACATAAGCGTTTTATTGTTTGAATTTACTTAAATAAAACGTTCCATCTCTATGTTTGTAAATTTATTTTTGAAGATCAAATGAGTGGTATAATGAATGTCATTACACCACTAGTGAAATAATATTGAAGATTACATGATTCAAATAGCCGTCATAATAAGTGATTATCATGTAGGTCGCAAATATTTTACAACAACGTAACCGAGCATGGCATGTTATTAATTATTTTACCTAAAAGTAAAGACTTTGATGAAGAACAAAGTAGTTTCGGTCATACTTGAAATATAAATTTTAGCCTTGGTGTAAAAGCATAAAACAAAGCAAAAAACCCAGGGGAACTGAAATACTGACTGTGTTGTTAGAGGTGGTAACTGTCAAGAATTAAATTCAGGATTTTTAGATTAGCTATATTAAGGAACACTGTTACTTGGTTCCAGAATATTCTTATAAGATGTACTTTTTACTACTGTCTCAGTTGAAATCAATGAATTTTGCTTTTCAAATTGGTAGACCTGTCACTCAACTTTATTTCCTGTTGTCAAAACTGACGTGGATGACTGTGACATGCAATTTACGTCAAAATTTATTATTAATTATTATTATTATTGTTAGGTCATAAGTGGGTGACCTGACGGAAATTGTGACGATTCGGCTGGTAGTACCAAATGTTAGGTCATAAGTGAGTGACCTAACGGAAGGTTTTGTGTTTGCTCGAAGGACCAGCGGTCACAAAATGGGTGACCACAAATGTTGGCCACAATGGATGACCAAAAAATGAATTGGTCACAATGGATGACCAAAATGATGTTGTTGAAACTATAAATATAGTTTCAATGAGACACGACCTTTCTGCTTCACGGTTTATTCGAATCTAATAACAACTATGTACATTTATTTACAAGTGGAGGTGGTGGGTGAGAGGGTGGAGTCTACTGCACCCCTTCTCCTTCGGTCTACCTGCCTGGACCGAACAATTATTATTAAAATGCCATAACCAAAGTTTTTTGGGCCCTTAAAAGTGACATGCCGCCAAGCCTTTCAATGAGGTTTGGCAATATCAGGGCAACAAAATTCTTCTATAATTGGTTAATTCTACGTCCAATATTTTTCTTCTTTAGAAATGTCACTAGTTTCTTGAATTGTGATATACCAATACTATTAATAATAAGTACAATATACGTAAATACGTTTATGGTACTTTTAAGTAAGTACAGAATACTCTGCCCAAAGGCTTCTAGGAGACGTCAGCCTTATTAAAGTTTCTTTGAACAAAACAAAGTATAGTGGACCATGAGCTATAAGGTTATATGGCCATCATAAAATCATCCCATTGTGTCGAAGTTAAGTTGTTTACAATAGAAAAGGTTTTGGGATCGTAAATAACGTGTCCACTGCAGCTGTTGTGGTTTCGTTCAGGAGCGGCTTTCACTAAATATGAAAATCCACTACTCCACTATTTCTTTACTACCTGCAGCCGCTGAGGGTTCCGAAATAACCACTCGCTTTGAAAGCCGGCCCTGTTAAATGTGAGCAAGAAATGTTTAGAAGACGATTTATTGCCAACCGGTAAGCTTAGTGCGAACCGCACAAAGGGGGTATTTATTTGCGGTCAACTACTTTTATGATGGTCATATAACCTTATACCTTTTGGACAAGTATACAAAAATTTTTTCAGTTATCACTTGTCACCACTTCTTCTCACAAAACTACTTTTTAAAGCTCTCATACATTATTTTTGTACCTTCCCCTGGATTTTCTTAGAATTAAAGACTGACAACTCGTTTCATATGTTTCCTCTATTTCTAGAACTGTTGGAATCCGCTTTGTCGGCATTAATGTGTGTATAGTGTCTATGAGTATAGTCTTCTGATATTTCCATCAGGGTTTATAGATTTTATACTTGTGATTGCACCGAAAACGTTATACTTACTTCACATGGTTAAGTGCCCAACAAAATCTCGAAACTCAAACTCTCAAAATTTTTCTCGATTTTGGTATAAGGCGCATACAAACCTCATAATGTAACAGAATATTTACTGTTTCCCCTGATGATGTCGGAAATATTCAACATCATCATCCAAAAATTCTTAAAGTATTTACTAGCGAGGAGATGAAGAAATTTCTGGAAACACATGTAGTTAGATAGTCAAGGCTCAACATGTTTCGGAGTAAGCTGCTGTTGAAGGAGTGACTTACTTCTGACCATAGAAGTAAGTATTCGAAAGATAACGGTATTTATAAAGTTTTCTTTGTGTACAAAGAATGACTGTCGTTTTTGGTAAGTATATGTCTACGTTTTGTCCCGTAAGTTTTGGCTATAGACACATGTCATGAATCTAGCAGAAAGTAGAAGCTAATATGCTGAAACTAGGATGTCAAGATTGCATATTACCTAAATAACATATTCTTGTCGAAAACTCTGGAAAATTTTAACAAAAAAGACATTCATAAGATAGCTTCACCTACTTAAGCTGTACATTGAAATCACCATTTCCAAGTTTATATGGGCTTTGCAATGAGTGTTAGATGTTCTAGTTTTTAATTTTGAATGAACGCGTAATGTTAGAAATCGTCAAAGAACTGGAAGACCAAAAAAAGTTACTGAAAGCCTAAAAACTTCAGTGTAACAATTAGCATTAAACCACAATTTGAGTAGAGGCTCAGTTCAAAAAATACTTAAACGGGAAAAATATCATTCATACAAAATTCATACTACATCCTACAAGAATTGAGTGAAGATAACTTTGACTGCAAAATCGAATTTTGCGAAATAATGGCAGGCAAATTAGATCAGGATCATAAACCAATTAGGAGTATTATTTTCTGATGAATCTACTTTTTGTTTGAAAGGGCATGTTAATCGCTATAACTGTAGATACTGGTCCAATACAAATCCACACAAATTTTTCAAAAAGTTTTCATAACAATGTATTCACTATGTACAATCATTAAATTGGAGTATTGTTATTTCTAGAATATTTTGTAAATTATTGGGAAACAGCATTTAAATAAATCTGTAACGGTGACACTTTTAGTTTATGTACCCTCAGTTCTATCATTTTTACGATGATTGAGCTCTAGCATTGTTTTTTAGTAAAGCGCCAGGACTATGACAGGTCATAGTACTGTCAAGGCTAGTTACGATTTTCTGATTTTCAGTATTTTTAATTTGACAATTTATTTTATCATGTTGGGAAAAATAAAATTACGCATGCGTTTACATTTCTGAATTCAGAAAAAAATGCACCATTTAAAAACGGAACATTTGACTACTGGTGCTATTAAAAAAAAAACAAATTAGCCCTGCATCTTAAAAACAAATGA